GGAGAGAAAGAGAAACAGACTGCGGCAAGTGAACAGATGACTCTAATAAGTTAAAACTATATAATAAACATCACAAAGTAACACCAAAATAACACAACAAGCAGTTACAGTGAATAAGCCAACAAGGGAGAAAATTCTATCATAAAAAATTTGGTTAATCCAAAAGAAGGCAAAAAATAAAATAAAATAAAATAAAGGAAAGGACACAACAAATGGGAGTAATAGAAAACAAATAACAAGGTAGTAGGTTGAGATCAAATCATTTTAATAATTATATTGAATGAAAATGATCTAATACCCTGATTAAAAAGCAAATATCAGATTGGATTAAAAAAAGGAAGACTCAGTTACATGCTACCTACAAGAAACCTACCTTAAACATGAAGACAAAAATAGGATAAAGGAAAAATAATTTTAAAAATTATATATATATACACACATATATATATAATGCAAACAGTAATCAAAAGAAAGCTGGGATGGTTATTTTAACAATCAGACAAATAGATTTTACAGCAAAGAATATTATATCTCATTATGATAAAGGGATCAATTACTTGGGAGTACATAATTTTAAATATTTATGCACCAAATAAAAAAGTTTCAAAATACATGAAGCAAAACTTGAATAGTAAGGAGAAATAGACAAATTCAAATTCTAGTTGGAGATTTCAGCACTCCATTCTTAATAACTGATAGAATAAGAAGGCAGAAAATGAGCAAGGATATAGTGGACTTGAACAAGACTATCATCCAACTTGACCTGGTTGACATTTATAGAGCATTCCATCCAATAGGAGCTGAATAAATATTCTTTTTTAAAGCACACAATCACGGCAGAAGGTAAGGAGGAGCAAGTCACATCTTAAATGGATGGCAAAAAGCAAAGACAGAGAGCTTGTGCAGGGGAAGTCCTCTTTTTAAAACCATCAGATCTTGTAAGACTTATTCACTATCATGACAACAGCATGGGAAAGACTTACCCCCATGATTCAATTACTCCCACCAGGTCCCTCCCATAACACGTGGGAATTCAAGATGAGATTTGGGTGGGGACACAGTCAAACCATATCACCAAGTAAAGGAAAAGTAATAAAGTAAAACTGAAACAGACGTTTCACCAGAGAAGATACCTGGACGGCAATAAGCACAATAAAATTTGTTCGACATCACTAGTTATTTGAAAAATGCAAATTTAAACTACAATGAGATACCATTATATACATATTAGAGTGAATAAAAATTTTTAAAGTGACCACAGAAAGCATGGGTGGGGATGTGGAGCAACTGGGACCCTCATGCATTGATGGTAAAAATGTAAAACGGTATAACCACTTTGAAAAACAGTTTAAAAAGTTAAACAGATACCTACTGTGTGATCCAGACACTCTGTTCCTAGATATTTCCCCAAGAGAAATGGAAGCACGTGCGCACACAATGTCCACACAGTGGACACACACATGAATGCCTACGGCAGCTTTATTTGTAATAGCAAAAATTTAGAAGCAAGTAAAATGTCCCTCAACGGGTGAATGATAAACAAATAGTGTTATATCCATACAGTGGAATACTACTGAGCAATAAAAAGAATGCACCTGCAACAAGATAGATGATTCCGAAAATAAATATGTTAAGTGAAAAAAAAGACAAAAAAGTGTGTATATAGTATAATTGTTTTTATATAAAAGTCTAGAAAATGCAAACAAATCTATCGTGATAGAAAGCTGGTCAGTGGTTTTGCACAGGGACTGGGATGTGGGGTAGGGTGGGGACGTTTAGGAGGGAGGAATTACCAAAGGGCATGAGAACACTTTTTTGGGTGATGGATATGTTCCCTAACTTGATTGTGATGATGGCTTCACAGGTGTACACAGCTTTCCACCTCATGGCCACAGACTGGTTAATCATTCATACAAAACATCCATTGCCCTGGGTCCAACCTCCTCCTGCCCCCTGTGGAGATGAACTGTCTACTTCACCGATGCTATTTCAGGTTGTATAATATAGTGCCTGACAACTCTCTCCGTTTTTGGAACACATCCAAATTGTTTCTTACTCATTTTCCATTTCTGCCTTAGAACGAATTTCCTGCCCTGGTAACTAGGTGAAGGATTTTGGAGTTATCTGGGGTAATGGAGACATCCTTCATTGCACCCCACATGTGCTTTCTGTATTCCCCAGTTATAGAAACCAAAATGAGCAGTTGTATGTGAATGCATTTTATCAAACCAAGTCTCTACATGATAGGAGGCAGTGTCATTACTAAGGTAGTAACTCAGTAGAAAGAGAGAATCGAGAATATGAGGAATGAGAGTAGGGTCCAGACTAAAAGGAGGCCAGGGGTCCTGAACTGCCCCATCCAACTGAGGTCATTCTGATACCTACTGACCTGAAGCAGCCGGCCCACACCGAGGGGCAGAGTGTCCCAGATGAATAGGCAGAGGCTAGAGATGCTCATTCCCAAAGGGATCAAATAATTCTGAGAATTGCAAGAACTCCATAAACTCTCTTCCCCAAAACTACAAAAATGTGCAGAAAATAATTACGAACAATTTTTAGGAGCTTACACCCTTTGAAGTGTATCCATGGGCTGCTGGAACCCTTGGTAAATAATGGCTAGAAGTGCCTCAGACACTGCCTGGCACCCAGCCGGTGCTCAATGAATTATCTGTCTGATGAAGTGATTAGGAGCCTTGTAAATACTGATTCAAGCATGTATCACCCCATCCAATTTTTGAAACCAGCGCTTCTCAAGAACAAGCAGAAAAATTAAATATTGTTTTGAAGTAGCCGTGGTGGTTTCGGGGCAGAAGCCCAGGGGCACTCCTTACTCCACCTGCTCCAGTAACTACACATGGGAGTGCCTGGCCGCTCTGGTTCAGACACAGGTGCAGATAGATGATTTCTCTATCCCATTTTAATTCTCTTTGAAGATCATTCCCACGGACATTCATTTGTCATTTGCCTAAATTAACATATTTATGCTCGGTCGGGCGCGGTGTCTCACGCCTGTAATCCCAGCACTTTGGGAGGCTGAGGCGGGAGGATCATGAGGTCAGGAGATTGAGACCATCCTGGCTAACACGGTGAAACCCCGTCTCTACTAAAAATACAAAAAATTAGCCAGGCGTGGTGGCGGCGCCTGTGGTCCCAGCTACTCAGGACGCTGAGGCAGGAGAATGGCGTGAACCCGGGAGGCGGAGCTTGCAGTGAGCCGAGATAGCGCCACTGCACTCCAGCCTGGGCGACAGAGCAAGACATCGTCTCAAAACAAAACAAAACAAAACAAAACCTAAAAACATATTCATGCTCATAACCCCACTTTCAAACCAGTGACCTCAAAGATTTCTACCAGCAATCCCATTCCATTCTTCCAAGTACAGAAAGCAAAGAGAAACTGTGACCTGGGAATCTCAGCGTTGAGCCTGCTGAGCAGAATGGCCATCCATTTGGGGTGGGGTGCTGACTCACTGCCCCTTTTCATTGCATTTTGGGGTGTGGGGATTTCCAGAGCAAGATTCTCCAGAGAGGAGTATCCAAGCTCCCTCCTCCCCGCAGCAGGGGGATGCTGGGCTAACTGCCTGCTTCGGGTCCCCCGTGAGTGGTCTGCTGTGTTTTGATTCTGTTCGTTTGTGTGTGTTTTGCCTATGACTTTGCGAAATATTCCAAGACAAGAGCCAGAAAGTCTTGGTCTCTGAAGACAAGCACAATGTTGCTTTCAGCTTAAATATCTACTGGGAAACCTCAAGATTTTGAATGTCATCATTACGAAAAACAGAGATTACAAAAGGAAACCGTCGCATTTCACTTGCTGGCCCCCAGTGGGATTGGATCTGACCTCAGTGCATCTTTAAAATCTTTGGTAGGTTTTAAGTCTTGACAAAATGTGCTTAAGCATGAAGATTCCAAAAAGGATGCAGTAGATTCGGGGAGAATGGGGGTTGGAAAGAGGATTAAATCTTCACATGACACCTGGAATATGGTCAAAATGTACCTGCTCAAGTTGAACCAGGTATTGCCTCCTCCTTTTACCCCATCGCTAGTGAAGACAAGCACTACCTGGGGAGACGCTCCTTTTCCGAGACACTAGAGTCCCGCCGCGTCCCGGATGCTCCGCTTTCCCCGCGCCCGGATCCTCCCGGGAACCCGCGCCCGACAGTATCCATACAGTGGAATACTACTGAGCAATAAAAAGAATGCACCTGCAACAAGATAGATGATTCCGAAAATA